AGATTTCTCAATGAGCATCATTTTACAGAAAACCACCAACAAATAAATATATGAAAACGATTGCTTTTGACATCACAATGGTTAAACACATTAAATAATTCATTAAATTGTGCTTTACATCAATGAAAATCCCTAGGTCTACAAACTATCTTGTAAATAGGAAAAGTAGATATGGTTACTCACAATACAATCTCTTAGTCGCAGAGTTCACACACATTATTGCACATAAACAGAAGGAAAATTCCTAAAGAATAAAGTAATTTACAGCCTATTAATTTACCCTTTCATCTTAAATATGGCAACTGATGGGAACTCTTGATTTTTTTTTTTTTCACTTCCAACATTTATTTGAAATCACAGAGCTAGCGATATGGCCAAGAAGAGAGCCAAGGACATGGTAGGCTATGGAACCCATTTCCCTCCACAAAATATCAACAAAGAAAGTATTACAAGAACCAAACTGAAAGAAGTGTTTCAGTGCAAACTGGGTACCTTTTCCGAGTATGCTTTTGCCACATATAGGGAGGATACAGCGATCTGCTCCAGCAGATTTTATTGTGATTGTTCATCTTGTACAGGGTAGTCTCCACCAGCCTGGAAAAAAGATATTCTTTATCCCAGACTAAAAAAGAGTAATTTCACATATATCAGGGGAACAGTAATGGAAGGAAAAAAGTGTCAGTGAGATAAGTTTTATAACATCAGTGCTCATAACTGATACAAGACTGCAGGTGGGAAACAAGAACCCACTAGTGCAGAAGGAAGCATGTGTCGACAAGAAGGCCAACTGGAGAAACCTCCTGGTTTAGTAGTGGATGTCAAATCTGAAACACCTCCAGATGCAAAGGTGATGTGACCTGCCATTTTGTTTGGTTGAATGTATATGTTGGAATTAGGAAGTTTGGCTCTGGATCTGACTGCCATCACTTCTTTGTTCTGTACTTCTGTTTTTAGTGAACTGCAAATAACTACTGCATATTGGGTAGAAGCCCTAGCAAGACTATCGCAGCCTCACTATTAACACAACTGCAGTGAAGAATACGCAACATCAGAAACAGTGTTTTTTCTTTCCCCATGGTGAAAAACCTTTTTATCATTAGCACTGATGAGTGGGGAAGAGAGGACAAATTTTCATTCCTTAATAAAGTATGGCCCATAGGCAATAGGCTGAGTTCTTGGACTAGACATTGAATTACCAGGAACAAGTTTTAATGACACAGCATGTTTCTCTGTCTGCTCCAAGCCTACAATGAGTTATAACTGGAAAAGCAGCCAGTGCTGAGGATGCGATGGGAAAGATTAGCAAGTACATCTCCATGACAAAAGAATGAGATCTGTTTCCACACCACAGTAGCAGAAGCCAAATTGCCTTGTTTAAGCAACAAAATAATGCCAGGAAGATGGACAGAAATCCTATAGAGTTGTTTCTCACAAAGGTTTTGAAAGAAACACGCTACGCTCCAATCTTACATGAGCCAGTGTAATTACAGTGAAGTCCATGCTGTCAGAGCAACGAAAACCTGGAGTAACAGAGATATGAACCAGGGCCTTTATTTTGCTTTTGCGTTATGTTATTTCGAGCGCAGTGCCCAAGAGGAAAAAAGCTGCAAGCCTGTGTCTTAGAAGTCAGCCTGAAAGTATTTGCAATCTGCTTTATTCTTCATGTGCCAGGAAATTCTGTGAAGAAAAACAGTATTGTTGGCGCAGCGAGTTTGCTGGATCTGCTGCTGGAGCTGGGGAAGGAGGTGCGGGATCCTTCAGTCCCGGGGGGCTCTGGGCAAGATCTCAGCTGCTGGCTACCCCCCCCCTCAACTACTCCTGCACAACCAGGGCTATCTGCTACACAGGCTCCAGGGAAAACAACCCCAACAAACCAACTTCAATTTTAACTAAATCCCAAGCGTTAAAGCAAATCCCATTAACATAGATGCTACAGCACATTAGCAGCTCTTCAGGACCCTAATCTTGTCTCCTGGGAAATGACTGACGAAAAGGTTAGGCATGGCATTAAGGTATTGCCAAACTATTAAAGCTAATGTAAACCACCCAAAGACTGCTTTGATTTTCCTCATCAGCCTTTGTTTTGTGTCAGGCAGAAGGAATAGTCTGGAGAACAGTTGGTGTGCTTAGACAGCTAAAACTGATACTTACAGTCACTGGTGAGGCTGCAGGGAACAATTTCTGAGCTCTCTCTCCTCTCCCCTGAAAAGACAACACTGCATTTTCCAAATGAAAAACGAGGCCCCCATTGCAGTGAGCGATGCAGAGAGGTGGCCTGCTGGGGAAAGAGGCAGGGACGCAAGGAAAGGGACCCTTTTTTCGTGCTTAGGAGCAAAAAGAAGGGATGCTTTACAACAAAAGATGGGCTGGGACTGATTCTACTTCCTCGCTTATCTTCCCCCTTGATGTGAATTTGGCCTTGCGTCTTTCCTCCAATGTGGCTGGCTTCTCTCCTGTGCGGCCCTGCTCCTGCCAAGCCCCCCCGCCCTGCCTGCCAGCCCTGCCTCTCCTGCACGCCCCGCACCACTGCCCACCCCACCTCTGCCTCTGCCGGGGTGTCCTTCGGGGCTCCCCCAGCACCCACAGCCCCCTGCACTCACGGAAACAAGGAGCGCACCTGCAAATCCTGGACACGGCGTATAGGGTGCCAAAGGCATCCTTCCCCTGTCTTGCTGACGCAGCAATGGGCCCGGGAATGGGGAGATGCAGCAGCTCCCCATCATCCCTGCATCACCAGCTGGAAAGCTCCTTCCCTCCGCAGGGCCAGGGCCAGCCCAGCCTGAAGCCCTGTTGCCAGCGGGCAAGATGGCAGCTTGCTGCAAATTACCCGCACTGCGCTAAAGGTGCAGTAATACCCGTCAGGCTTAGCTCTTCACGGCCTCACCCTCCTGCAGCCATGCAGAGTGAGCTTCAGTCCTAGACTGCAAACATTTCCATTTAAATCTCTGAAGGTGGGTGTCCTTATGCGAGCGAGGTGTCTGAGCACCTCTTCCAGGTGATGGGGATCCAAGTGGTACCGTCCAGGGAGTCTAGAGAGCTCCTCACTCTTCTCTAAGGTGGACTGCCATGCTTGGGCAGGAGAATAATGATCTGCAGTCCTGTGTTCTCCCTTCTGAAAGCGGAGGTGGGAGGATATGCACGGGATCCACCAGTGGAACAGGTATTACAGACCAAAAAACACCACTACTCACCCCAAAAGTAGCACATTGACAATCAGGTGTAAAGCAGCATATTGCTAATAAACTACATTGATAATGAGGCATCATCCCGGTAGCCCTCTTCACTTCTTAATAACTGTTATGATATTCCATGTTTAATGTATTATTGTATGCATTAACTCTCAACAGGATCGTCAGATCATATTTTTGATATTCTGCATAGGTAAGTAGCAATAGCATTGTCAGAAGAAAAAAAGATACAGCATCCGCTAAAAAAAAAAAGACTTGGAAATGAAGGGACAAATTTTCAAATTCAGCTTCTTTTTTCTGTAACACATTATTTTTTTTACTGACTGGATAAAAACCTTGAATTTTGAAAATAAATGAGAAATGTGCATCCACATCAGGTACTCTGGTATTTCTAGTTAGCAAATCTGTAAGGTAAAAGCCATTCATGCATGCAATAATATACTTTCAGCATCTTGATTTAGCAGCCACGTTGAGGCACTTAGAGAAATTTCCTCCTAAAGCTTTACATTTATGCTAGAAGAAGGAAAAAAACTCTCTCAAAAGATCTATGGTGCACAGGACCCTCTTTTTAAAATTTCACTATTACAAATGGAACAACATAAAATCTTGGAATAAATAGATGCAGTTTAGCCACAAGAATGTAACATGTGGAGGAAGAACCCATTGAATCTTTTTCTAGACAAGGAAGAAAAACAGATACAGATCTCTCATCATGAAAACAATAAATTTACAAAGAATCTTCATACAGAGTAATAAATATCAAGACTTTCCACGTATCCATTAAGTATCCTATAAAAATGAAAGCTGATTTTTTTTTCTAGCCACTACCATAGTTAGAGAGAAAACCAATTTAAATTGTATTCACTTGGCATCAATGTGTTTTAACAGACAATATCATAAACCTGCCTACCTTCACAGACAATATATCTCCAGGCTTTTACAGCAAAACTGGAAAATGTCACTCTCATATTTAAGCTTTTCCTGCTCTCTCTTTCCTCTTCCCTGTAGTTTGCTTGGCCTCTCTTCACCTTTTGTGAATGTGAAGGCTGATTTCATTGCCTCCAGCCAGATAATCTCTGCAACGTGTGCCCAGCTCCCACGTGGACCTCATTTCTCAAGGCTTTCTCTGCCACACGCACTCAGAAAGATGGCTGCTACCTGGCTGGGCTCGATACTCTGAACATCCATGGAGAAATAAGCTAACCCCCTCATCACTTCACTTATAAATCATCTCTGATTGCTGGCTAACAGAACAGAACAGAACAAGCGATGCCCCTATCCCACATTTCCTAGGTCTTTTTTAATTACCTCAGCAAATTCTTCCCTTAATCAAAACACAGCATGTAGAAGTTTGAAGGGCAATACGCTTTCCTCCATTTCATTCACTAGAAAGCTACACACTACAACTGCAAAGGACAGTATGAAATAAACCAGCTCTCATGTTACAGAGGAACCAAACCAGATTTTTTTTGTTTCAATTTTTCATTCATGTCTGCACAGGTTTTGGTAGCTCGATTGTATAGGGTACATCTGTTAACGCTCTCTCTTCAACGCTTCCTCATAGCTTAGGTCTTTGAATGAAGTCTTGACAGGAATCTATTCTACTGCCATTTAATAACACTAATTAATGCCTATTGAGAAAAAAATAAATTTTTCTCACTGGCAGAAACCAAGAAAAATGGAGACAAGGAGGGGTAATTGTCAGACGCAGCCTCATTTTCCAAAGCGGTAGGCATTCCTTCGCTAATTCCCAGGTAGCCAAGTTGCACAAACTCTCTGATCCTCTCATCGGTTAGTCAAGATGGAGGAGCATCACCACCTTGCAACCTGACTATTATAATCTTCAGTAATGGTTACTTCTGCTGCCTCTTCCCTTGGCCACTGGTGAGCTCTCTGCTCCCGCAGCAGCCGCCGCTCCTCTCGCCTCTTTAGCCTGTTCTTCTGATGCTCCTCTTGCTTGGAGTACTGGAAGCGCTGCAGGAACAGGTCTTTCGCATATTCGTAAAGCTGCACGTCCAAGAAATTCAGCTCCTCTATCCGTTGCCGCACATCCTCACCAATGTCCACATTGGAGGCCCGCGTAACGTTGAATTGGGTGAATGGGGAAATGAATTTCAGGTTGAATGTCCTCTCAAAGAGATACTGCGTTTTCCTCTGAAATTCTGTGAGGCCGAAGAAGGCCATATTTTTCAGATTGTTCTTGGCGCTCTGGAGAAGAATCGTATTTCTTTCACTCTCATTCATAAAAGTCAAGTTGTAGCATCCCACCAGGCTGAGGTCTGCCAGCATGCGCACCTGGCGGTTGTTGGCCAAGTTGTAGCTACAATCCATGAATTCCTGTAAACTGACTCCAGACCAGTCATCTCCTTCGTAACAGGTAGGCAGCTCGTCTGGTGTTGGGCTTCTTCCATCGCACATATGAAGAGAAGTTTTCCACGTCGCACCCCTCTGGACATGCTTCCATTCACTCAAGTACCGTGACACCGGGTCTCTCAGCATCGTGATGTAATAGAAGTTCCTGAAACATATCATTAAACACAGTTTTAACATTCAGTGGATTTCACTTTTTTATTCTCCAGTAAAACAATTACCAGCCACCACCACCCCCTTCACTTTTTCCAGTGTAAAGCAGGCACTTAAAATGAGTGCTTCTGAGACAGTAAAAAGCTTAAAGTTTCATAAATACTGTGAATAAAATACCAGGTAAACTGGGAGAAAGAGAGAGAGATGAAAGGAAATAAGCAGTTATCACAGAAAAGGAATTACTTTAACCTATCAGCTGTTCAGTGGTAGTTACTTTATGCAGAGGCCAATTAACTGAAGTTTACTCCCCTCTACTCTGAAATGCTAACCCTCAGTAATATCAGAAACAGTGGGAAAAGAGATTTATATAAACTTGCCACTTCTTTTCTGGACTGAGACGTGCATTTCTCACAAGATACACAAGACAATAATCCATACAGCACTTGGTCAGAATATAAGAGAAGCATGAGCAATTTCATGTGGATGCTGCAGGTGCTAAAAATAACACCAGTGGAAGACTGGCATGAGCCACCTACTTAAGAAGAACCGTATTATTAAATGGGTTGGAGTGAAGGTAATGAGAGACCCAAAATCCATTCATATGACTTAATTCATATGACAAGTGCTTGATTGAAATTAGTTATAATTGTGTAATACAAAAGCATTTGTTGATATAAAGATTATCATTATTCAACCTCACCTGTCAAGAATACAAAAGAGACACCAAGAAATATTGATTTGAAATAGAGAAAATAACTGCAGGACTCACACTGTCAGTTCACCTTTTAGCTACTGAATTCAGTTTGTACATCTATTTATGGCAATCTGAAATGGACTGCAATTGGGTATGCGTCAAGCAGGCTTTCACAGATTGAGTTTTTTTACTGAGAAATGTTTTATTCAATAACAACTCACCTGAATTACAGGATGATATCATAAAGACAAAGCACAACCAAAATACTTATGATTTCTGTCAGCTAGAATAACCAGCAGAAGATTCATGACTAAAATTAACACACGGTCTGGTACAAAAATAGGCTCATGAGTTTGCATGACTCATCTGACTGCAAACAATACATTAATAAATCATGAGCCCTAAGAGTTCTTAAGAAAATACTGAGCTCAGTACTCTTTCTTGAGCCTAGAGAACGATGAAGTAAGCAGGAGGCAAGCTTGCTGCAGACAAGTCACCCTGTAAACAAACCAACACTTTGTGAGGGCCATCTCATACACGAGCTAACTTCAGTTAAATGAAAAATCTCAAAACTCCTAATGATCTCCAAGACAATTACACTTCTTTTTCAGGTATCACCCATTTTCTGCCAGTAAAGATTCCCCGTAGGTTCTCCATAAAATTCAGGTTTGTCATAAAAAACAGGTATTTCCCCACGTATGCCTGAAAATGCATTTTTTTATTTTCCCCAGTGCAGACAAAGCAAAAAGAAAAAAGGCTGAATGCCTTCTCCTTAGTCATTCCGAGTTCTCCACCTACAGGATCTATAATATATTTTCTGTAATAAGGTTATGAGGCCAAACTATGGACTATGTTCTGCTGCAGGGTCATTTTTTGAACTATTATCTAATGGAAACAGCTGTTTCAAGAATTATTTTGCAGCAGAAGGGTTACAGGTGGAATGATAAAAACTAGGGAGTGCCATGCATGTATTTTCATTACCACTTGCATTGGAAGCCATGATTTGGGTTAGCATCAGATGATACTCTGAAGGATGAAACTTCCAAAATAATTTGGGGCCTGGGTTTTTCAGTTGCTGCTCACACATGATCAAACTGCACTTCAGCTGTTTTGAGCCACATCAGTTACTTACACAGCCCACATCAACAGTGAACCCAAGGATGATGCAACCATTCACAGATATTTCTAAAATACCTCTTCACTACTCTTGCAGAGTAGTGGACCAGAAATTCTCCTGTGTGCTCTGCAGTATAGCTCCACTGCAGAAAGCACTGTCTTTAAGCTCTTCAAGCACAGCGTTCCCTTCTCAAATTGATGCCCATCTCACCTTGCATGCACATTAAGAATTGCTTTCCAACTAATGGCACAAAAAGTGGACACATTTCACTAGTGTTGTGCAGATAAAGCAGCCAAACTCTCAAACATGCATCAGCTCCGAGCGTTACACACTGCTGTTGCAACATCCAGCAGGCATTGATAGGGTTGTGAGAGAAAATGATTGAAGCTCCAAGGGAGCAGAAATGAAAAAAGATGAACGAAGATTCAGAGGCAGTTGCCAACATCTACATCCACAGAGACTTGGCGTTGGCTTAGTCCTTGTATTGCTGCCCCTCCCCTCTTTGGATAATTTTGGATGTTGATATGCGGTAACAGATGGGTTTAAAAGTTGCTCTTGACAATTATTTATACCTCTAATAATAGTTCTGTCTTTCCTCACCCATCTCCAGCAGTCCCAGTCAGGCATGACTCAGAGCAACAACAATTAACAAAAATACCTCCTTTGCATCAATCATTTCCATTTCATCCCTGGATATGTAAATGTGTTTGATGTGCAATAAACAGGAGTACGAAGCAAATGCAGGGAAATGAGAACAGCGTGTCTTTGTATAACATCCGCAACTTCCCTTATGCAGACTGGCTGAGCAACTTTCGCCAGGCTGTTGCTGCTCCTCCTTGCAACTACCTGTCTTCTGCATCTGTTTTTGCTATCCTGACTAATTTGCTTCTGGTTTGTACATCTTTCAGAGTTGTGCCTTCTTGTGTTACCAACTGAACAGCTTCTTTGTCTGGCAGACAACCTTTAACAGCAGCCTGATACACGTTTAGTTTCCAAAGCACTAATAAGTAAGAGCGCAGCCATCCCCACCGCATTCACGGTTTAAAACCTTCTGTTTAGCCTTCTGTTTGTGACTCTCCATCACCCTTTTAACCAACTGGAGGTTGGAAGACCTTAAGATTTCTTCCACCTGATCGTGTCCAAATGACACTTGCTACAAAGCTACGCAGAGGATTGGGGGATGCTGCGCAGCAGTTGTGGCACAAATTTTTCTTTCAGGGAAAAGGATGTCATGTCTCTAGAATAATGACATAAGTAAAAATACAGAGGTCACACACATTTGTTTCAGTTGGAAAATTATAAAAATTATCTTAGGAAATTGTTTTCAAATGTTGACATTTATGGATTAAATATAGCAGCATTTCAGAGCTCTCAGTGCCTAACACACAGTGTGCAATCACACTAGGAATGGCTGAGGAGTCAGCTCATAATAAAGACAAAAAGTAGTTCATAAAAATGTGCAACTGGGGATGGCCTTCTCTTCACTGTTCAGTAAGAGAGCATCAAGTCAGCTGTATATTGAACATGCCTGAGCCACTCTGAAGACAGACATGCACTCGTTCTTGTCGGTGTTAATGACCCCCTCGTGTCGCCCATGCTCGTGCCTACGGGCCATGTTAAACTCCACAGCTATCCACTGTGGGAAATACTCAGCCAAGAATTAAGTAATAACTTCTGTTACCCTGTTTGACAAAGCAAACTCATCACAGACTTACTGGCTTCATTTCAACGGACTCCCATCATCGATTACTCAAACTGCTGTCACAGACAGCCTCAGTGCTTAAAAGCTAGCCAAGCAGAATACGCTGGCACGTCAGTCAGGAGATGTTTTACACAAAACATTCCAAATTAATTAAAACCCATACAAATTACATCTATATCAGCGTGTGCGTGCATGTGTGTGTGTAAAAATTTACATGGGAATGTGGCCATAAGCTGCAGTTGTCAATGAAAGAAAAATCACAGTAAATGCATAGTGTGTATTTGCCAACATATCTTGTGACTGTCAATATAAACACATAGACATGTACCAGCACTTTAGATTACATTTCAAACAATCCTTATAACAACACCAGCCCACTAGTCACGATGTTAGCTCCTCCTGAAAGGGAACTTCATACAACTTCCCCAGATTAAAAAAATCCCCCTTTGAGCATAATGTACTGAACTTAATGGGTTATCGAAGTCACCACTATAGGATGGTTGCTTTTTTGGACAGATGCTAAGCACCATGATGGTCAGGCTCAGTAATCCATGCAAGATCCCAAACAAGCACTGGTGTGAAGTGTGGGCTGCACACTACTCTTTACGGTAGAGTTAAAAAGCACTTGGGAATTCAGAAGGTTCTCATCCCACTGGAATGAAATCCAGTCTCTTCATTAGCATTAGGCAAAGAAAACCTTTAATTATTAGAACAGCTAAAACGAGCTTCTAGTTATAACCTAAGAACATGTATTTCTTTCACATTATAAGGTATTTTAATATAAATACTGTAATCTTACATTAATCCTTCAATAGTATTGCTCTGGTTTAGAAATTAATTTCAGAGGAGCAGACTCTGATGTTAGTGGAGGTGATCCCAAACCAGGGCATTTTGCCTCTTCTATCACCATGGAACAGACGTCCCAGCTGAGGGAGATTTGCTAAATACGGGAAGGATCACCACACATCAAGAACAAAAACATCCTGCAGGGCCTCCTGGGGAAGAAGGATAAATGGCATCTTCTCAGTTGCTCCCACTCTTGTGTGGAGCAGCCAGCACAAGGAGAGCTCAGGCAGCTCTCTCAGAGGCTCAGAGAGGAGAAAAAACACGCTACTCCCTCTTCTTTCAAAGCGTGAAGAAGGACCTGACATGCAGAGAGCAATGAGCTTCATAAAAGGAGAACAGCGACTTACAGCAGCTGACGCGGAGACGGAGGAATATTTGAGGGGGAGAAAAAGAGTCACCAGATAATATTTTGGAAGACACTAATAGAAGAAAGAAGAACCAAAAAGACTGAAAAACCCAGGTCCATCATAAAACCATCCACATTCTGTTTCTTCCTGGTAGCAGGGAAAATAAAAGCCTCGGTCAAGTTTATGACCCAAGCTGAGAAAAAAAGTTAGCAGCTTTAATCCTGGAAGTGAGTGTGCTCCCAAGGAAAGGTCTGAAATACCCAGCAAAAGCCAACCTGGCAGCACGCTT